GCAGATAAGAAGACTTTCTGCAATATTTAAGAACACACTGCACAACATCCCAGTGCCGAGGTTTCAGTTACCAGCTCTTTGGGAATCGCCTAAACTAATTTCAAACGGTGTTCTCTCTGACATCTTTTGGAGATCTAAAGAAATGGGAACGTTTTTACAACATGCTGCTTATAACAAAAGATTGAATGCAATGCTTCGTGCTGGGCGACTGACAGGTTAACAGCTACAAAAATCTGGAACTGGAATCTGAATTATTGCTTAAAAACCCTAAAAATGAAGAAGTTGACACTGTGTGTCGAATCACTGCCCGCTCTGCGTGAGCGTAGGGCAGCTTGAAATTCACTTCACAGAGCTTACAGAGTGTCACGCTGTTATCTTTGCTGTAACAGTCGGTAACAAAGCCGCTCATTTCACCCAGCAGTCACTGCTTTGCTGCTCTGACGTGAAGCTGCTGAGCAAATGAGCTGTAAGCAGAAAAAACACGGCAGCAGCCGCACGCGTAATGTTTCTGTTAATGTTCATAATTTGGTGCTGCAAACCGTCACCTCCTCATTAACAGAGTAACACGTTGTGCAGCTTTAGAGACACACAGAGGTTTTTAAAAGCATCCAATAGAGAGCACAGACACTCAAACACAAAAGTACATTTCTAATTGTGTTTTCCTACACACGTCAGTTATTAATGAGCAAAAACAATATATACTATAGTGTATTTGTAAGGAAGTCATTTAAAAGTATTTGTTGACGTCTGTTTCATTCATTAGAGACAAAGAGGCAGAAAGATTTAAACGTTTAGTGAAGGCAGAAGATGTTTGATCAAATCTGTGATGATTACACAGAGTCAGCTGTTGGTTTGTTTTTGTCCTTTTAAATTGTTTTTTAAAAATATGGATGATGCTCAAAGATAAAGTTGGTTCTTCACATATGAAGGATTTAAATCTGTGAAGTTATCAATCAGCCTTTCAGAGATTTGTTCCTTATAAATGTGCAGTTTGAGATGAAACGAGTGTGAATTCAAACTTACAGTGATAATAAATGTTTATAGAGAGATATCTGTCTGTATGCGGTGTTATCCATTAGGGCTGCCACGATTAGTCAACTAGTCACGATTAGTCGACTATCAAACGACTGATTTAATAGTCGACGCGTCGTTTGAAGCTTTGTAAGATCACAAAAGACGCAGGAATAAGTAGTAGGATTTAAGAGTGTAATAAC